TTGATCGCAAATTGAACTTTATTGATATAATTATTAACTCTGTAAATTATAAATTTAATACTTCAATATTTTACAAAAAAAAACACAGTTTTACAAACTAATTTGAAAAGCTTCGCTAATATTAATTATGAACTAGGACTCATTAAAACTCTGATTAACAAGGCCTTCAAAAAACAGCATGTTTTCATCTAGATATTGTAAAAATTAAACTAACTCTCCATAAAATCTCTTTTCCTTTCAACTTAATTGACATAACCTTCAAAAATTTAATAAAAAAATTTATCTCTCCAAAAGAAAACATGTCATCTGCAAAACCATCTGATATACATTACTTTAAACTCCCTTATAATGGAAAATTTTCAAATACATTTCAACCACAATTAATTAAATGCATGTAGAATATTGTAAAGATAATAAAAGCAAGACTAGTTTTTACAACTTTTAAAATAAGTAGTATGCTTTCAGCAAAAGACCCCTTACCCCCAAAAGTTTATATAAGATTACAATTTGTATATTTGATGTTAAAAGGAATCTAAAATGAAGGAAAAAAGACTTATTTAATCGGCAGATTATTATTGATACAGTGAACGCTTTTCAACGAACCTGATTGTACTTTAGTTATAGCTAAATGCCCTCTTCTAGAATTACATTTAGTACAAAGATTTGTCAATCATGCTTTCTGGTGTGAACCCAGTGGACACACGACGTTATTTCGACGTTGATTTACAGTTGATTTTTAGTCGCGACGTCGTATAACCAAAAATCAACGTTGTATCAACGTTGAAAAATTTTTTTAAAACTATCAAATAAAATCGACGTTGATTCCACGTTAATTCAACGTCTATATTACGAGTTCGACCGTTCGTAATTGCAATATGAGAACTAAAATACGCATGCGTGACTTAAAATTTTTTTTATAAAGCATAACAAATAACAAGTAACAATAGCATAACAAATAACAAGTAAAGACTTAAAAAGTTACTTATTAGCCCAATAAAAACAAGTAAAGTCCCACATGCTAATAAATTAGGCCATCTGTTGCCTTTTTATAAGGTTTTGAATTTGACAATTTAACAATAATACATGGCTTAACTTGTGATGCAGTTAGTTAGGTAAATATTAAATGGGTATTTCTTTATGACCGTATTATTTCATGAGTGTGGATTACAAGAAGAGATTACTTGATATATTATATAAATATAAAATATATATTATATATGTTTATATATTTATATAATATATATATATATATATATATATATATATATATATATATATATATATATATATATATATATATATATATATATATATATATATATATATATATATATATATATATATATATATATATATATATATATATATATATATATATATAATATAAATACATATATATATTATATATATATTATATATATATATACATATATGTATATACATATATATATAGTATATATATTTATATTATGTATGTATATATACATATATAGTGTATGTATATATTATATATGCATATTATATATATGTATGCTCGAGTCTTCTGCGGCTGAAAATTCAGCCTCATAAATTGCTTCTGCAGCTGAAAATTAACGCATGCGCATATTATACGCTTTCTTTTGTTTTGATTTTAAGTTTTGGTTTTTTTTGTCGACTTGATGAGTTATAAAGACATAAAAATAGTAATATGTTACAATGTTGTTGATTATAATAAGACGAATTTGAATTTAAGAATGAGTTTAACATAGTTAAGCTTACAATTCAGTTTTTATGTGAGCAACAACAATAATTTAGTAACTATATGTAACTTTACTAAACTTTAGTACTTTATTAATTGCCAGAACTTTTTTGTCCAAACACTTTTACAAAGCTGTGTTATTTATTTATTTTTATGGCTAAAAAATATAATTTTAAAACATTGATAATTTTTTATTTTAACCTATATTGATAATAGCATTTCAGAAAAAATTTATTTAAAATATTTCAGAAATAATTTCATTACACTGTAGTTTCTGTAATTTACAGAGATTATTTCAAATAGTTTCGAAATAATCTCTAAAATGTTTCTACTGCCTGTGAAAACATTTTTCAGATAAAAAAGTTTCTCTTTTAAAAGTTTTTTAAGCTTTCTTTAATCAATATTGCATATGTATTTCTTCGTTCCATTGTTGTGAAATGTCTTGAAGTCTCCAGTGGATGTAAAACTTTTTTTCAATTGCACAAATTCTTGTTTTAAAATAAAAATGCCAACCTGTGACAACAAGCTTGACTTGAGTCAAAGGGCAACATTTTTTGGTACAAAAAAATAATCCCAGATAACACATTGACGTCCAGCCGACGTCATTTAGACGTCTTTGTTATGGTTGGCCCAACGTCGGCAAAAGACGTCGGATTGCCTGCGATTTGATCACTGGTTCCACGTCGGCCCTATCTAATCGGCCCAACGTACATAAATTACTTGATTGCCGACGTTGATGTTAAGCATCATTGTGAAGTTGGAAAAGAGCAGTTTTATCCAACTTTGTGTGAAAACGTCGCTGACACAACGATCTCATTATCGGTACTACGTTAGCACAATATTAATATTGTTGTACCAATTAGATATATATCTGATGGAAAAGCAAGATTTTTCGGACACAGAAAGAGACCACTCAAAAATTTACTAAAAACATGACTAATGAAAACATTTTGTTAATTATTAAATGTTAATTAGTCATGAATGATTGCTTGCTTATCAACTGATTGATATATCAACAGTTGACATTTACAGTTGACAACTGTTTAAAATTATTTTATTAATAAACAATAAATTTATTAATAAATAAATTGTTTAAATGACTTATTAATAATGATTTTATCTATTAGTCAAAAAGGTATAACTAAAAAAACAACAACTAAAAAATAAAAACGATTTATTTATATATATTATAAAGGCTTTATATAATAGTTAATGTAGACATGAACGATTGGCACGACGTTGTCTTCCTCCATCTTGATCACTTGCATGTTTAAACCAGTCTTGACAAACAACTCCAATCTCGTTATCTGTTGCTTGACTTGTTGCTGGAATTCTTCTTACTGCATCTTAAAATACAAAGTGTATATGAATACGTGTGTGTGTATATATATATATATAATATATATATATATATATATATATATATATATATATATATATATATATATATATATATATATATATTTCATCTATAGTCTGTTTCACCAGGTTCATCAATAACCTAGTGAAGGTGACTTTTACCAGAAAATATATTTTACAAGGCCGTAGATTACTTTTTTTTATGTCTGAGCTAAGCAACTTTAAAACATGAAGAAAACTCCATATTTAAGTATGTTCATATGAATGAAGAATGAGGATGCTGTGCAAAAAATTGCGGTGATTGGAGACTGGGAACAACAAAACCCCAAAACGTTAGCCCCCCCAGCCCCAAATTGGTGGGCAATGAGTCAAACTTTTTATTTTTATTTTATTCTCAAATTTAATTTTTATTCATCGACAAATTTCAAATTTTATTCATTAATCTTTTGTTCTGCTTTTACAATATTTTAAAGTTTACATCCCCTCAAACTGAGGGGGCTGTAAACTTTATGAGGTCATAAAGGCGATCATAAAAATATTATTGAATTAAATTTGCAATTACAAACAATTAATACAAACTAAGTTTAAAATTAAAATAAAGATAACAAATTTGACTCATTGTCCTCCAATTTGAGGCTGAGGGGAGGGACTAACGTTTTGGAGTTTTTATTGCTCTCAATCTCTAATCACCGCAATTTTTTGCATAGCATCCTCATTCCTCATATATATAAACATACTTAAAAATGGAGTTTTCTATAAGTCTCAAAGTTGCTTAACTGAAACATCAAAAAAAATTGTCTACGGGCTTGTTTTATATATCACAAATATAAAATAAGTAATTTTACCACAAACAATTCCAACAAGGTACATTTTGCTAAATGCAATCTTATTTCCTTTTCCCTTCCAATTACATGACTTTGCTACATCTGTGATCAGTAAACGACTTAGCACTGCTCTGGTAGTTGACTTTACATTGAGCCCGCCAACCAATCCAAGAAATCTTGTCTATATAAAGTAGTATAAGGTAATAAGGATGTAAAAGATATAGGGTAAAGTTTATCATAATACTTGAAAAAACAAGTTTCACTATACTAAAATTTTTGATTAATGATTGAATATTACTTTAAAAGTAATTTATGTTATACAAAAAATACAATTTTATATTAAAAAATATTGAATTAGGTTTGCATATACATATCTTTTATGATTTGATTTAATGTTTTATTGTTAACTTAATTAGTATTATTAAAATAAATAATAATTTCATGAATATATAATTTATTTATTTGATAAATAATTTATGTATTAACTATTAAGTTTAAATAGAGCTTTACCAGTCTTCCTTTAATGTCGCTTTCTTTAGCTTAATCGTTAATAAGGTTAAACTCTTCAACAGTTGTTGCTGGTAATTGGAAAAGTAATCCTCTTACTAAACTCTCTCCGTCATTTGTTTTTGCAAGGTGCTGTAACAGGTTTATAGTTTTTTCTCCTTGTTCCTTAAGCTCGTCTCCTTGCGCTTTAATTTCTTCAAAAAGAAGAATTAGTTTCTATTCTACAGCTAAAAAATATTAGAACTAGTGAGCTAAATAATTTAATATTGGCAAAGAAATACTATAATTATAAATATTATTTAAGATAAATTCAATATAATTTTTAAAATGATGTAAAACATAAATTAAAAATTAACACAAAATAACCATTGACATTCTGTAATCTATATATATAATCTATAATGTGATATATATGTAATCTATTATTCTGATGAAATAAAAATTAGCAGTTAATAATTTAATATATACGTGTTGCAACTGAATACAGCCATCCATCTGAAGAGCATAATGGAAGTTCTTTTAAAAGTGGCTTTCCATGAGGTTTAGAAAATGATGACAGAATGCTAGACAGGCCACTTGATCTGCTTGTCACATGTTCTGGAGTGTTACAATTTAAGTGAGAATTTGAAAAAACAGGTGGCTCAGGAAGATCTTCGTACTCTATACTTAACTTTTTATGGCTTTTTTGTGCAAGACTTTCGCTTAGATTTTTTTTCGGTTTAGCTAGTTGCGAGTTCCCTTTTTGCAAACAAAAATTTATTTCTGGACTACTGCATATATCAGTGTCTGATAAAGGCAAGTATGAATTCCTAAAAATAAGCCTTTATCAAAACACAAAATTTAAAAGATATTTCAGCAAAATTTCAGAACTGAAACAATTTTTGTTGAACCACAAATAATTGTGATAAATCATTAAACTTAATTTAGTTTTACATACCTTGCTCGTTTTTGTTTACATTGCATTGTTCCATCGTCTACGTCTGAAACATCAGTCCCCAAATCAGATTTTTCTTTTGCTTTTGTAATATCTTTTACTGCACTTTCATATGAATCTAAACCCGTTTAAATGAAGTTCTATATTATATTTTAACTGATATGTCAGTTATGAGATACTACAAACAATAAGTATTTATTTCGTAAGTATGACAGCACATGATTTATTTGTATAATTGCTCATAAGCTATCAAACTTATGTAAAACATTTTTATAAATATTAGAATTGTTATAAACTTTTTTCAACAATTGCAGCATTAAAAGATGCAAAACAATACCATAATTTTTCAAAATTCTTGCTTTGTAACTCTTCCATTTATCAGTTTCAACATCAACGCATGTCTGAACAGCTTTTAAAATTTTTTGCTGAGATTTAAATAGTGGCCAATAACATTCAAGATGTTCATCAACATCAGTACATTTAATCCAGGTTTTAGGAGCAATTTCCACTTCATCAGTGTCCAGAAAGTGAACAATACAATATAATCTAAATATATTAGCAAGACTCTATAGATTAAAGGCTTTAATAAACAAAAAAACTTTTTAACCGATTCAGTTATATAATTAAAAACAACATGTCAGTTAAATATTTTTTTCACAAAAAAGATATAATGAGGTGTTCACTTTCATTTATAGGTAAACACACACATTTTGAAACTACATCATTTATGCTATATATAGAAACTTTATCTTCAACTTGAGACACTTTAAATGTATTTAACAATTTTGAGTCTAAAGGATATTCATAAAATGAGTCTGTGTTGCAAAATAATTTTACAACTATATATACATCTAAATCTTTCTTAATGATGTTTTGAAGAATTCCAACTTTGGAAGTATTCAAAAATACACAGTTATTATTTTTTGTTAATGAAAACATATATGATTGAAGTTTAATACTCTTATATTGAATGATATTAAACAACTCAGGACATATTGGACCATTGTTATGCTCATATTTACACATAGGATAATCATTTTTTGTATCTTTATCAGAAACAGAGATAAGCATTTTTTCTGAAACTCGTTTTATAACTTGTTCAAGTGGTAATGATGGTTTTCGTATAAGTTTTTTAACACTTTGTAAGTAATTCTCAAAAGGAAAGGCGCTTATTTCATCTAATGCACCAAACCTACTAACATCATCTGGTAAATGAACCAGGCAGTGAACATTGTAAGTAATAAATTCTGGTCCATATAACTTCTGTGAATGCTGGACAAAAATTGTCAACAATTTTTGAGCAAAGTTGCACATATTTTGACAAAGCTTACTGCTAACAAGACATGAAATAGCTACATGAAGAAGCAAAAAATGTTTGAACAAAATAGGATGCAAATTGTATTTAAGAACTAATGGACCAGTATACAACAAAAACAAACGAAATTCTGTTGCCTTCCAACGATCTAATTCAGTGAGGGAATGCGGTTTACGCATAAATTCATTTGGTATTGAACTACGTAACAACTTCTGGTGTTCACTTATTTTCATAACTTGTTGTGTAGATAATCTAGTTTTTAAAGGACCCTTGACCCAAAACTGTAATAACTTTCTCATGACACCTAAACAGACAAGATGCATGTAATCTAACACAAAGTCAGTTACCATGCCAATAGACAACTGTGTTAGAGGTGATTTAATATGTTTTTTATGATGATCTTCATACAACATATCATTAAATGCTTCATTCGTTCGAAGAGGGCTATTTATTTCTGGAAATGTCATTCTTCCTATATATTTTCCCGATTGAATGCAACGATCACAGCTATAATATCCACTATATAGCTTTGTATTTTTTAAAAATGACCGTGCAGGAGCATCGCACACAAAACTATGAATGCGAAGTTGATAAAGTTTGTCTTTTAGTATTATTCCATTTTTTTCTAATTGAGTTGTTTCAACTACAAATGAGTTTAAAAATTCAATAAGATTAGAAGGTTTGTTATATTCAGCATACAATCCAATTATAAAAAGTTTACTTTTGTAACTTGGTTGTTTTAATAAACCAAGAATTGGCCACAGCTGTAAACCAATGCTTTTAAATGTAGGCAAACCATCAATATTGCATTGCATTGACAATT